AGCAATTGATATTACAAACAAACCATTACTGCAGAAAGATGAATATCTTCTCAAATGCAACCTCTAGGAGTTTTAAGCCTACCTCTTCCGCTAGCTCTCGCCTACATAAAATTGGTTGGTAACTTTAGTAAAAAAGATATAAGAAGTAACAGGAATTCAGCATTAGAATATTGGAAGCGATGGATCACAACATGATATATGTCTGGCCAAGAATCGTTATCCTCGGATCAGAGTTGGAGAAGTAGTTTGTGAGAGACGTAAGATATAAAGGGTGAATCTGGTGGAATTAAATCGTTAAGTTGCCATTGGAGTTTTATAGTAATGAGGCTTTGATGAATTGAAGTGGTGGAGAAGCCATTACGGCGGAGAATCAGAACGTCGAACTTTGGAATAAGAAGAGCAAGAAACTTGTCGTGTTAGTACAGATAAGAAACTTAATAGTTTTGATGGGCTTCCAACGCGGCTCATAATAAATTACATGGCCTGATTTAGCTACAAGTTGGGTTTGTTCGTGGGATTTAGAAGATGAGATTGTCTGACGTGGCAAAATTATAAAATATAACTAGTTGAATAAAAATGCATATGTGGATAACTTAAGAGTTGAGTATATTGGCCTTTCAATATTGTAAGATAATGAGAAACTTGTGTGGAATCTACCCGTGTGTGGGTTGTCGAAGAGAATATCAAATTAATATTTGCTATTCTTTCAAGTTCTTACGACACACAAATATTATTCCATTAACATATATGAATATATGTTATTTACATATATATGAATTTACACTTAGATTCAAAATAAAAATCCTAAGAAAGAGTGAGAGTTACATGATGTCGAAATTAGGCGTCGAAAATAGCCACTAAAAAACCAGACGTATTTACCTTTGGAGGCAATATAGGTAAGCTGGTGGCAACGCTAGTAGGCCGGTCCGAAGACATGTTGATATTCGAGGTACATGAATCTGTAATGAAAAATAGGCTTGTTATGGTGCAGCACAATATAAATTTGTTTCTCGCAATTGAATATGTTAGGAAAATACGTTGACCATAACATATATACATATTATAAATAGAAACTCAAATGAGACCAATTTATTTTTATGAAAAATCTGCTAAATGTGAGAAGGAAAAACCACATAATCATTGTTCTCTCAACAATCTATTATATAAATGAGTATGAGTATAACCATGTCATCTCTATTTAACAACCCGAACAGATTCTGAAACTTATGATTCAAAACAACTCCAACATAAGATACAATAACAACAAGAGACCAATACAAGAGCTCAAAATTCAGAAGCAATAAACAACCTCAGCTCACTAGAATTCCTGCAACTAGAGACTAATTCCACCGTACAAATTAAAGATGAACAAGTTAAGAACACCTCTACCAAAATCCCAAATCAATCAGAGAAGATCCCACCATCGAATTACCGAGCACTGAAAACATAACTGCAGAAAAAACTGTAATGACCAGCTTCACTAAAACTATATAAAATGGCTAAATCATGGCTATTATAACCATGGTTTCAAATCGTAGATAAATCGTGGCTACTATAACTTCGTGGATATCATAGCTACGATTTAGCCATGATTTTTCCATGGCCATATACAAAACCCTAATTATAATATCATAAATCCCATACTAAATCCTGTATATAAAGCCATAAACCTAAATAATAATTTATCCCAAATATTAAATATATGTTTCATACCATTACCTACTTTTTAAGAAATAACCTCCTTAAGAAATAATCGGAGAACCATCGTTAAGAAGAAACATAGAAAAAGAAAGACACATGAACAATACCACCGTAAACAAAAACAAGGAATAACACATACAAACTACAGCATTGTCAAAGCAAGCAAAACAACATAGACAAAGACGAAAGATAAATGCCAATTTTAGTGACAGTGGCGAATCCAAAAAGCAAAGGGAGTGACCAACGGATCTGGACCATAAAAGAGCATGAATTCCCTGACAAAGCCAAAAACACTAGAAAGTTTACCATCCAAACCAAATTTGGAAATTTAGATGAAAATCTGAAATTTCAAAAAACACATAGACAAAGAAACAAAAGAAAAAAAAAACAAAGAAAGCTAAATCCCAACATGCGAGATGGCTTTGAAAGCTCATGCCCATTAATCGGAAAAATCAAAGATCTTAAAATGATAACTTTTAGATAGATTAGTGAGGAAAATAAGAGAGGGAGAAGTTGGCACAAAAGTTATTAGCTTTCATATGACTAAATGATGTTTAAAAGAAACTAATATCAAGACATCTTTGGTTTCTGATTTACAAGAACTACATCCAAAACCTCTTAAGAGGGTGTTATTGGTTTGTATATTTTAGTGGATTTGAATATACAAATCAAATATAATGTTATTGGTTCTATGATTTTAAAATCCCTATTCAAATTCATTGTTATTGGTTCTGTGATTTTAAAATCCATATTCAAATTCATTCTTATTGGTTATATGATTTTAAAATAGATTTTAAAATGAGGCGTTATTCAATAATAATGATTTGCTTGAGGATTTGATTTTAAAATAGATTTGAATGGATTTGTGAGTTAAAAATACAAAGAAACAAATATAGAGTTGAACCTTGTTATTTTGATAGTGTATTATTGATTTTCTTAATAATTGTTTTCTTACCCCAAGTTTTACGTGCATATTATCCATGTTTCTGTAATAATAAGCAAATACTAATATATTAACCAACCATCTCTAACTTAGCTTTACGTACACGTAAACGTTAACATAAAAATTTACCAAAGATCTCTCATAAGAGTTTTGGTCTACAAATGTTTTCTGGAGATTCTACTCCATAAATGACAAAGAGTTGTTTACCATCATCATGTTTTTCTGAGAAATGTTAAGAATTTTTGATATATTCAAATCTCAATTTTTAATTTTTAATGTGCATCCCCTTTTGCTTATAAGACACAAACGGAGAGAATATTTGTGTGTTAGTTTACGTGTAGTCTTTTTAAAAAGTTCTGGCGAATCGATAACTTTTCTGAATAAAAAAATTTTGATGAAGAGGAATCTTGAGGAAGTTACTCGAATTGAAAATCAACAAACAGAATATGCCAATCAAGTGAGAACGGCAATAATAACAAGTATGTGAGAGATTTTATGTTATCATAATAACATAAGATATATAAAATGATAAACCATATGTTGTAGTTTTATATATATTTTCTTTTGTTACAAAGCTGCGTTTATCACAAATCCATTTCGTTGATTTCTAATAATTCAATTATATTGATTTTGAAATCTATTTCATTGATTCTGAAATCTACGTATTTGATTGTAAAATGTGTGGATTTGTCAAAAATTTCAAAATCCAAAAAGGATTTCTAAATCTATAAAATCCTAGAACCAATAACCCCCACTTAGTGATTAACAAAAGTGGCAGTCTTCATAAATCATAACAGCACCTCTTTTTTTTTTTGGGAAAATTGTTTTTTAAGACCAAAACAACTAGTACATTGTCCTTGACTCCTTTTAGACCAATCTCATTGTTTAGTTGTCCTATTTGGTTAAATACTTTCTAAAGGGCAATAATAACATTAAATTTAGTTTATTAATTCAAAATTTTAATTCTAAAATAAAAATTATATATTTTAGATTTAATAAAAGAAATAATTCGAAATTAAAAAAATATTTTCAAATATTTTATTCCAAAATTTTATAAATTCAAATATTTTGGAAAAATATATATATTTCCAAAAACATATTCCCAAATATTTTAAAAACTAAATCGAAATTAAAAAAATATTTCCAAATTTCCAAATAAAGAAAAACTAATCTGAAATAAAACAATTCTCCCAAAAATATTTCCAAATATTTTTAAAAACTAATTCAAAATGAATAAAATATTTCAAAATTTCCAAATTATACAAACTAAGTCGAAATAAAAAAAATTCCCCAAAAATTCCAAATATTTTAAAAAGTAATTAGAAATTATAAAAAATCCAAATATTTTCAAAAAACAATTCGAATTTTTTTTTTAAAATAATATTCGAAATTAAGAAATTATTCGAAATATTTTACAAAACTTTGAAATTCCAAATATGTTTTAAAAATATTACATATTTCCAAATATTATTTTATTTAGAATATTTTATTAATTCAAACTTCTAATTAGAAAACAATAATTATCTATTTTTTGAAAAATCAATTTTTTATATATGGTAACTGAATATCTCCAAATATTTCATTCCCAAATTTTCACAACTGATTGTCTTTATCCGTAGAATATGTATTCTACTATATGTAGAATGCATTAAGAATGTTTGAAATCAATTTCTACTAGTTTTAGATTTATAATAATGTGTAGATTTTGATTTCTATATATTTTAGATTTATAGTAATTTTTAGATTCTGATTTCTACTGATTTTAGAGAGATATATTAAGTGCGGAATGTGTATTCCAAATAGTTTAAGATTACTATTAGTTACGTAGAATATGTATTATGAACATAGTAGATTTTATGAAAAAAGTGGATTTCATATTCTACTTTGTAAAATATCCTGTAGAACACACTATGAAATTATGATTTAAACATTTTCTTAAACTGAAAAATACCATTAAATTGATATAGGTATTTCATCATTAGTTATTATTTTTTTGTTTTTTTTGTTTATAAAACTATTTATTTGATTAATTTTTGAAAATACTAAAGGCAATTAGAATAAAAAATAGTACAAAATATAAATTAGCCTAAAACGACAATATCTTAATTTTTTGGCCTAAATTTTTTTTTTTTTTGTCCACACATAACAACAACACCTCTCTCTCTCTTTTTTTTTTTTTTTTTGGTCAAAAATTTCTTTGACAAAAAACATGAAAGTGTTGTGAGCTTAAGAAATAAACTGGGCTTTGTTTAATGGGCCTATGAAATAGAAATGCAAAACTAATAAATTGGTCATCATTACAGAACAAGTAGGCGATCTCTCATGAAATGTGTCGGAGTTCAGAAACTCATTTATTCAAAGAAGTCACAGAGAAGAGGAGAAGAAGAGAGTGAAAGCTGCTTCAGAGAATCATCCATCTCCATCTTCCTTCCATAGTCTTCCTCCTGCTCGAACTCCTCGTTGCTCTTCGTTCTCGGAAAATCTCCAGTCTCTAATTTAATTGCTTCTATAAAAACCCTAGTTAATTCAACCTTGTCTGAGGTTTAGAGATTGTCGGAGACGGCGGAGGATCTCCGCCGTGTAAATTAATTAGCTTGTGTAGGTCATCTCTTAGTTCACCATGAGTCCAATTCAGAATTTCGAGCAACACTCCCGTCGTCTCGTGGATCCTGACCTACGTAAGCCTCTCTCTCTCTCTCTTAGATTCTCTAAAGATTCAGTCTCTTTCAAACTTTCCTCATCTGATTGATTTCCCTTTTGGGAAACAAATTGTTTTGTGTAGCCATCCAAACAAGGCTAGAGATGGTGGTGGAGGTCAGGGACAGTTTAGAGATAGCTCATACAGCTGAGTACTTAAACTTCTTGAAATGCTACTTCCCTGCCTTCTCAGCCATCCTTCTTGATATCACAAAACCTCAGCTCATTGACAACCCTGAGCACAAGCTACGCAACATCGTCGTCGAGATTCTTAACCGTCTTCCCCACAGTGAGGTTCTTCGTCCCTTTGTTCAAGACCTCTTGAAAGTCGCAATGCAGGTGCTCACCACTGATAACGAGGAGAACGGGTTGATTTGCATCCGCATTATCTTCGACCTTCTTAGGAACTTTAGGCCAACGCTAGAGAACGAGGTTCAGCCTTTCCTGGACTTTGTCTGCAAGATCTACCAGGTTTTCAGATTCACTGTTAGTCATTTCTTTGATAACGTTAAGATGGAAGAGGTGAAACCTGTGGAGACGTCTACTTCTTCTGATCAGTCCCTTACCCCTATTGCGCCTGTTGGGAATGGGCAGCTTAACCCGAGTACACGGTCGTTCAAGATTATCACTGAGAGCCCTCTTGTTGTTATGTTCCTTTTCCAGCTCTATAGCAGACTTGTTCAGACCAATATTCCTCATTTGCTTCCCTTGATGGTTGCTGCTATATCCGTCCCTGGACCTGAGAATGTTCCTTCTCATTTGAAGCCTCAGTTCATAGAGTTGAAGGGTGCACAGGTTAAGGTGAGACAATGGTTCTGTGTCAGGGAGGAATACAAACCTTTTTGCGATGTTGAATTGAAATATAAATAGTTTTGGGGCCGTGGCATTGTTATACTGACTTTCTTTTTGGGGTTTATTTGCAGACGGTTTCCTTTTTGACATATTTGTTAAAAAGTTGCGCTGAGTATATCCGCCCCCATGAAGAAAGCATATGTAAGAGCATTGTAAATTTGCTTGTGACCTGTTCAGATTCTGCATCTATCAGAAAGGTGGAATTTTTTTTGTTCCTTTCTTTCATTTTTATAAAAATTCTGAGTGGCACCATCAATGCATTTCGGTTAATTTTTATTTTGTTTTCGTTACTTGGTATGCAGGAACTTTTAGTCTCATTAAAGCATGTACTTGGGACGGATTTTAAGAGAGGTCTATTTCCTCTTATCGACACTCTTTTAGATGAGAGGTATGTAGGTTAAGAAGCATCTCAGAAATTCAAAAAGATCTTTATTTTTCAAGGAGGTGTATTGTTTGATAAGCACACCTTTTGTTTCTCCATATAACTATGAAGCTGATTTTTTTTTCCTTGTCTTCTGTGTCAGGGTTCTTGTTGGAACTGGGCGAGCTTGTTTTGAGTCTTTAAGGCCTTTGGCTTACAGCCTACTCGCGGAAATCGTTCATCACGTTCGCGGAGATCTGTCTCTTTCTCAGGTTATTATCGATGAAGAGCTTTAAATTTTGTTATCTTGACATCCTATTGATTCCACCATAAGAAGAACTAGGTCGTTACAATACGCAGTTATTGCTCTCTGTATGGAAAATCTTATGAGTGTAACATTGATTAGTCTTTCTTTCCGTTTGCAACGTTTTTTGTCATTCTTAGTAAGTGTGCTATCCTTTACATTCCTCTGAATTTACTATAATCAACGTTGCAGTTATCGCGGATTATTTACCTATTTTCAAGAAACATGCACGACTCTACCCTCTCTCTTAGTATCCATACCACATGTGCCCGGCTGATGCTAAATCTGGTAACTATGTTTTCCCCGTCGTGCGTGTCTTGTTTAATTGATATGCGTACTAGTTTTCTTACGTTTCTGAACTTTGCATAACTTAATACTTGTGTTGTGTTCAGGTAGAACCAATATTCGAGAAAGGTGTTGATCAGCAGTCAATGGATGAAGCACGGATTTTACTGGTAAACATTCACTGTGAGCACAATATAGAATTGGTCGGCTTCTCTAACCATTAACTAAACTCGCAACATTGTATATAGGGACGTATCCTGGATGCCTTTGTTGGGAAATTCAGTACCTTCAAGCGAACTATTCCTCAGGTAATCCTATTCTTGAGCTAATTCTCTTCTCGAATGTATAATTTCCTTGAATTGTTTACATATTCTTGCTTTCTGATACT